ATCCCAGGACCCTGAGATCATGACCTGAGCCGAAGGCAGACGCTTAACGACTGAGCCACCCAGGCGCCCCCCTCTTAAGTTTTTAAGTGTATCATACAGTATCGTTGACCATAGGTACAACATTGTATAGCAGATCTCTATAACTTACTCATCTTGCTTAATTAAAATTTTATGCCTGCTGATTCATAACTTCCCATCTCCCCTTTAACCCCTCTTCAATTCTATGAATTTGACTATTTTAGATACCACATATAAATGGATTCATGCAGTATTTGTCTTTCTGTAACTGCTCATTTCACTTAGCATAATGGCCCCAAATTGATCCATATCCAATATTTTGCAGATTTTGCAAGGCTGAATAATATATTCCCTTGTAGGCTTTCTTCATCCATCCATCAATAGAAACTTAGGTTGTTTCCGTATCTTGGCTATTGTGAATAATGCTTCTATGAACATGGGAGTGCTAATTTGTCTTTGAGATCCTGATTTCAATTCTCTTAGATCAGTACCCAGAAGTGGGATTGCTGGATCCTATGGTAGTTCTATTTTTTAACTTTTTGAGGAACCCCCCCCATACTGTTTTCCATAGCAGCTGCATCATTTTGCATTCCTACCAACTGTGTACAAGGTTCCAATTTCTCTACATTCTCGTCAACATTTATCTTTTAATTTTTTGATAATAGCCACCTTAAACAGGTTTGAGGTGATATGTAACTGTGGTTTTGATTTGCATTTCTGTGATGATTACTGATGTTGAGGATCTTTTCATACATCTGATGGCCATATTTATGTCTTCTTTGGAAAAATGTCTATTCGGGTCCTTTGCCCATTTTAAATCTTGATTATTACTATTATTTCTATTAGTTGTAAGAGTTCCTTACATATCTTGGATATTAACTCCTTATTGAGTATATATTTTGCAAATGTTTCATTCTAGTCTATAAGTTGCCTTTTAAGTTTGTTGATGGTTTCCTTTGTTGTGCAGAAACATTTTAGTTTTATACAGTCTTACATATTTGGTTTTGGTGTAGGATCCAAAAAATCACTGACAAGACTAATCTCAATGATCTTCTCCCCTAAGTTTTTTTTGTTTGTTTGTTTTTAAACATTTTATTTATTTATTTGACAGAGAGAGATAGCGAGAGCAGGAACACAAACAGGGGGAGTGGAAGAGGGAGAAGCAGGCTTCCCGCTGAGCAGGGAGCCCAATGCGGGGCTCAATCCCAGGACCCTGAGATCATGACCTGAGCCGAAGGCAGACGCTTAACGACTGAGCCACCCAGGTGCCCCTCCCCTATGTTTTTTTATAAGAGTTTTACAGTTTCAGGTCTTTAATTTGAATCTTTAGTCCTTTTTGAGTTGATTTTTGTGTATGGTATGAGATAAGGATCCAATTTTATTCTTTTGCATGTGATTATCCAATTTTCTAATACCATTTATTGAAGATGCTATAATTTCCCTATTGTGTATTCTTGGTGCCTTTGTCAAAAAATGAGTTGACTATATATATGTGGGTTTATTTCTGGGTTCTCTATTCTGTTCCACTGATCTGTGTGTTTTTATGCCAATACCATACTATTTTGATTACTATAGTTTTATAATATAGTTTGAAATGAGGAGGTAAAATGCCTCCAAATTTGCACTTCTTGCTCAAAATTGTTTTAGTTATTTGGGGTCTTTTATGATTCCATGTGAATTTTATGCCTGCTTTTTTCTATTTCTGTAAAAAACGCCATTTGATTTTTTATAGGGATTGAGCTGAATGTGTGGATCACTTTGTGTACCAGGGACATTTTAACAATATTAATTCTTTCAATCCATGAACATGAGATATCGTGCCATTTATTTGTCTTCAATTTCTTTCAGAAATGTCTTCTAATTTTCATTGTACAGATCTCTTACCTCCTTTGTTAAGTTTATTTTTAAGTATTTTATTCTTTTTGATGCAATTAGAAATGGGATTGTTTTCTTAATTTCTTTTTCAAGATAGTTCGTTGTTAGTGTATAGAAATGCAACCAGTTTTTGTTTGATTTTGTATCCTGCAACTTTACTAAATTCATTCATTAGTTTTAACAGTTTTTGGGTGAAGTCTTTAGGATTTTCTATACGTAAGATAATGTATTCTGCAAACAAAGACAATTTTACTTTTTCCTTTCTGATATGGATGCCTTTTATTTCTTTTCCTTGCCTAATTGTGCTGGCTAGGATTTCCAGTACTAAGTTGAATAGAAAGAAGTGTGGTGAGAGTGGATGCCTTTGTCTTGTTTCTGATCTTGATCCTGATGAAAGCTTTTCATCAGTGAGTATGTTAGTTGTA